CTCTCTCTCACGCGCGTGCTCTCTCATTCTCTCTCTCAGATAAATAAAAAAAAAAAAAATGCTGACATACAAACAGACATTTTGTTAGCAAAAATGTAAAGCAACTGGAACTCTCACACAATGCTGATAATATTCTGGAAAAAGGGCTAGCAGTTTCTTATGAAACTAAACATATACTTATGTATATTTATGATCCAGCAATTCCACTCCTAAATATTTACCCAAGAATTGAAAACAAATGTTCACAAAAAGATCTGTACACAAATGTTCATAGAAACATATTCAAAACAGCCCAAAACTGAAAAAAGCCCAGATGTTCATCAACAGAAGAATGTAAAAACAGAGGTATAGTCAGAAAACAAAATGGTACTCAGCACTATAAAGGAACAAACTATTGATACAACAGCAACATGGATGAACTTTGAAAACATCAGGCTGAGTGAAAGATGCCTTACTCAAATGAGTACTTACTATATGAATCCGTTTACATGCTCCATTTGTATGGAATAGGCAAGACTAATCTATGATAGAAACAAAATTACAACAGTGGTTGCCTGGGTTTGAAGGAACATCTCCAGGAATCAAAGAACTTTCTGGGATAATGGTAATGTTCTATGTCTTGATAGGAGTTTAAGTTCTACAGGTATATACATTTGTCAAAACTCATTGAATGGTACCCTTCAGATTGTGCATTTCGGTTGGAACCCCACACTGGGTGCAGAGATTACTTAAAAAAAAAAAAAAGAAAGAAAGAAACACACCTAGAGGAAGACTGTGCATTTTACCGTATGCAAAATTTACACTCTCTTAAATATGTATGTGTATATATACACATGTATATATATGTGTGTATATATATACACACATATTGAACTTGTTTGTTATACAAGGAGACATATTCAGAAGTAAAACACTGAAATCTCCAACACGCTTTGAAGCATAGCAAAAAATTAAGATGGTTTAATGAATGGATAGAAGGATGAATATGTAACACAACAATGAATGACAATTATAGAATCTAGATGATGTATATAAGGGTATTCAGCATATTAATCCTTCAACTTTTCTGCACTTTTGAATATTTTCATAATAAAATGTTGGGAATAAAATTTTAATTACAAGTTACTACATGAACAGTGTACACCGGGTCAGTAACAACAGGTGCCAAGTGATTAAGTGATTACTATATGAGAAGCACTATGGTGGTTACTCACATACGTTATATATATAATCCCCACAGCAATCCTGCAAGGCAAGTATTATCCCCATTTTCCAGATAGGGGACTGATACACAAAAAGACTAAGAAACTTACTCCGGCCTCAGATAGCTACCAAACGATAAAGGCAGGATTCTAAACCCAGGTCTGATTCCATAAGGGCTGTTCTTTCTGTTACATCATACTGCCTTAACAATGAATCCAAGGATTTGGCCCAATTTATTTTTTTATACTACTATGGAATTCCGTGTTATTTTTTTTTTCCTAAGAGTTCATTTTTAAGTAACCTCCGAACCCAACGTGGGGCTCAAACTCACAACCCCAAGATCAAGAGCCGCATGCTCTACCAACTGAGCCAGCCAGGTGCCCCTGTGCTATTGACTAGTAGTAGAAATAAGTGGGTTAATAGCAATTGTAATGGAATAGGCTATTACACTGCTGCTGCTATTCTTATCTCCTTTCAACGATATTATGAATGTGTCTTATGATACTAGACACGAATGCCAAAACCATGACACAATTTTCTCAAACACAGTTCTTTACCTCATTTCTCGTTCTTCATGTTGAGCGATAAGGTTGCTATAAAAATTCTCCAGTGTCACTTTGGTCATGGTCACCCTTTCCTTTGTGTGATTACTCATGGAGGAGCAAGGTGTTGAGCCTGTCATTGCCATGGCTGCTAGAAACAAAAAAAGAAGAGGTATCAGTTTTGGAGTTAGAATCCACCAATCATACACTCTCCTCACCTACTGGTAGGAAAGTAAATTGGTACAAGTATTCTGGAGGACAAACATATAATATACAACAAAAGCCAGACAAACAGAATACTTGATGAAAATAAGTATATATTAATGTCCTATGACCCAGAACTACCATCTCTAGGTATTAGGCCTAAAGAAATTGTCTCATAGGCTCTTAAGAAATGCACAAACTTGTGCATTACAGGAGATGTTTATTATGCCATCATTTGTGTTATAGGAAGTTGAAGCCAATTCAGTAAGGAAATAAAATGCTGTGGGTGCACATAAAGAAGTAACATGTGGGGCGCCTGGGTGGCTCAGTCGTTAAGCGTCTGCCTTTGGCTCAGGTCATGATCTCAGGGTCCTGGGATCGAGCCCCGCATCGGGCTCCCTGCTCCGCGGGAAGCCTGCTTCTCCCTCTCCCCCTCCCCCTGCTTGTGTTCCCCTCTCGCTGTGTCTCTCTCTGTCAAATAAATAAATAAAATCTTTAAAAAAAAAAAAAAGAAATAACATGCATCAGTCAGAAGCAAATCTATCTGTACCTAAAAGTGACATGAATATATCTTTAATACATATGTTATAATTTTAAAAAGGAAGAGAACAAGATCATAATATAAACATAAATTAAGAATATATAATACAGACACAGTAAAATTTTTTGTCATCCAAAAATCTACCTTGAAGAAATCAAAGACCCATAAGGATTCATACACAGGGGGTTCAATGTAGCACTGTAATGATAAAACTTGAATACATAACAATAGAACTGATTAAATTATAAAAAGTCCTATAATTGAGTAATGCACAATTAAAATATGTTCAAATGTTTAATGTCAGGGGAAAGGTTTCCAATCTACGCAGGAAAAGGTTACAAAACAGAATATATACCATGATTTCAATTTTACTTATGTGTTTACTAGATGTGCACAGATTATTTGAAATATGTATCAAAATGTTACTAATGGCATAACTCTAGGCAGTAAGAATGCAATAGATCATTTTACTCTTGTTTGGGCTTTTCCACATTTTATATATTTTCTTCAATGAGCATGTACTATTACTATTAAATTACCACATATTACAACTCAGTACCAGAGCAGACCAAACACAGCCACAGGAAAACCTGAGTAAGAATACCTAAAATAAGTGAAAGCACACTGGCTGGGATCTCTATCCGTTATCAGCATTTCAGATAACAGGCAATGTGAGCA